AAATCTTGTTTTCCTGGTAAATTTTCAAGTGTGCTGGTATTTGAGAGATTTGCCTCTGTAGTTCTTACGTGAAGGAAAGTTAAAAGTTGAGTGACAATCCTAGAGTTGTCACAAAGTTGTTTTTTTTTTTAAATTGTGTAATGACAGCAGTAACTTATCTTTCTGACCATATTCTCTTTCCTGACCCATGTATTACTTCTTCCTGATTTTTAAACCTGTAAATCCATTCCAGGAGCCACCAAGATGTCCCACAGATACTTTGTAAGATTTAGAACTCTTGAAACATGGAAAATATCCAGCAGAGGGTCACTGCAGCCTGAGGGTTCTGCATACCTCTCTGGGGCCATGTTGGGTAGTATTGTTGGAAGAAAACTGTACAGGCCATCTCTGACTTACAAACTTGCAACTTATGTATAATTTGCACTCACAAACAGGGACTGTTACACGGTAAGTCTCTGAGTTACAGACATCATACTGATGTACCACTTGCACTTATGAATAGAGACTATTACAGGAATAGATAAATGTATCTGTTCCAACTTATGTACAAATTTAAGAACAAATTTATAGAACCTATCTCATTTGGAACCTGGGGACTATAGGTTAAATATTGGTTTGATTGTGTTACAGAGATAAATAAAGGTAATTTAAAATTGACTTGTATTTCTTGCTCAGGTGAAAGTCCCAGCTGGTTAGACGGCCTTGGGATAGACTGGCTATGTCTCTAATATATTCCACCTCCTGTGTTGGGAGTCTGTGTGTCTTAGAGTATGGACATTGTCTGTATGGTTGCCGATCACTAGTGTTACATCTGCCTTCTGTCCTGAACACAGGGAGAAAGAGAGTGGAAGAAATGCAGCTGTCTTTTAACAGCATAATTTAGAAGTTTCACCACCTTGATTAACATACTATATTCAGAACTTAGTCACATGGTCACACTTAGATGTAAGGAAGGCTAGAAAATATAGTCTCTAGAAGGGTGGCCATTGTTCCTAGTTAAAATTGGTGGGGAAGGAAGAGAGTATGCTTTATATATATTATTAAAAATAGATGTTGGGTGTCAGCGCCTGTGGCTCCAGGAGTGGGGCACCAGCCCCATATACTGAGGGTGGTGAGTTCAAGCCCAGCCCTGGCCAAAATTGCAAAAAAAAAAAAAAAAAAAAAGATGTTGAGGTAGTGATAGTTTTATAAGCAGCCTTACTATCTCATGTGATCGTTATTGATTATATAGGGACAAACTAGTTTCTAAAGTTAAGGGGGATGGCAGTACTTTTGATGGAAGATGGGCAGGGGAGCATGACAAACATTATATCATAAGCCTAAAAATCAACATATCTGCAACTTAGCATCTTCCACAACAGTATGGTCTATTTGTTCTAATTCAGTTCATGATACTGCAGTCCAGCCAGCTATCCAAATTTAATGTGGGAAGAATTATCCACTCCTCTTCTGTGGTATTTGATCAGTCTCACCCTCTATTTCCTAGATGTGACTGCAATCCCTCCTTCCTCTTCTCTCCACCATTCCTTCTTTGGATCAGCTCCCCTGCATCTGCTGGGATATTTTGACCTCATGCCACACACCTTCAGTCTCAATGACCTCTTCCAGGATAGCCAGCGTGATATTATTGAAAGACCAATCTGGTCGTGTTATTGTTATTCCTTTGCTTAAAATAAACCAAAACAAAAATCTTTAGTTGTTTCCCTGCAGGTTACTCCATGTTTGTACTCAGTGATCTGATGAGCTTCTTTGTGTCCTAGTTTCCTACTATTCCATCCTGTTTAAAATGCTCCCTGTCTCCTTGATGCCATGCTGTTTCATCTCTTCCTTTGCCCTTTTCTGTGATTTCTACATGGGAAAAATATTGCTTTTTCATCAAGACTCAGTTCAAAGGAATCTTATTCTGAGAAGTCCTCTCTGACCTGAAATGTTACCAGATGAAGAGGGTCTGGCCTCCTGTCACTGTCAGCCAATATGCAGAGACAGGTCCACCAAACTTTGTCAGAAGGCTGGGATTCTGGAGCACAGTGAGAATAGCTGCCCTGAGACTGTTCTGTTTTTCTATAAGTTTAAAGTGAAGACCATGTTTACTCTTAAACAATGATTGGAAGGTCTCATGACTCATAAACAATAACACTTTAATTTAAAAGTTAATTTCCAAATCAATCTACCTAAACGACTCAAGATAGGCATTTTTAGGATGGGAGCTAAATTTACAAAATAGTAAGAATGGGAGATGTGGTGAAGGTCAGGCCGGACCTAAACCAACCAGACCAGCTACATCCTGTCTGCCCTCACCTGACAGACTCCATCTTATTCTCACTGCATGTGCTTTCAAAATACGTCAGAGACACACTTCTTCCCCGAAAGTGTACTGTGCTCTCCTTTTGGCACCTCTGGAACTTGCCCATGCAATGTGTGCTTACTGATTGGATTTTGAGTCCCCTTGGAAACTAGCATCTGATGCAAGATCAGTCTTTAATGAACATTTACTGAATGAATAAATGGAATTAATTGAAAAATCTTGTCTTTCATGCATTGGTTCTCTATTATTTACTACCATCCCTAGCATAAAAGTGGAAAGTATAAGAAAATAAAATTATCTAAATTTGCTTCTTTAGATTATAAGAGTAAGAGGAGTCTCTAGTCTGGGCATAAATTTTTATTATTTTAAATGAAGTTAGAGTTGGTTTTATTTTACATGCAGCAGATTTTATCAGTTTTTCTGTTTCCTTTTTATTCTTGGTCGTATAGAATTCTGAAATTTGGGTGGTGCCTGTGGCTCAGTGGATAGGGTACCGGCCCCATATACCGAGGGTGGCAGGTTCAAACCCAGCCCCAGCCAAACTGCAACAAAAAAAATAGCTGGGCGTTATAGCGGGCACCTGTAGTCCCAGCTACTTGGGAGGCTGAGGCAAGAGAATCACCTAAGCCCAGGAGTTGGAGGTTGCTGTGAGCTGTGATGCCTTGGCACTCTACTGAGGGTGACAAAGTGAGATTCTGTCTCTTAAAAAAAAAACAAAACAAAAACCCCCCCAGAATTATGAAATTTTATTATCAAAATGAGTTTATATTTATTCTTTAAAGTTGCTTTGAATTAATGACATTCTCTGGGAGATACTTTTGAGATCATCTTGAGCATTTTTAAGTGAAGCTAGGGAGAGTGGGTGAATAATTTTAGCCTATTAGCTAGTGCTTTATTAAGTGGAGGTTGTATTACATCAAGCACTGCATATTATGAGAAAGCAGGTATTTACTAATTGATTTATTAAAAATAGAAACTTAGTTTTTAATTTTAAAAACAGTACATGTTGATCATAGAAAATTCAGAAATTGTATATAAATATGAAGAAGAAAATAGGTCTATAATCCCACAGATCAGAGATAATAATGAGTTTGTATATGATCTTTTGAAGAGACACAAACCATATGCCTGTTTGTTTATTACAAAATGGGATTATGCTGCATGATGTTTTGTATAATTTTTTCCCTGTCATTTGAATAGACTTTCAAAACATCACATTTGATTTCTTCATAGTATTCTTTTTTTTTTTTTTTTGGAGATAGTCTCACTTTGTTACCCTTGGTAGAGTGCTGTGGTGTCAGAGATCATAGCAACCTCAAACTCTTGGGCTTAAGCAATTCTCTTGCCTCAGCCTTCCAAGTAGCTGGGATTACAGGCACCTGTCATAATGCCTGGCTATTTTTAGAGACGGGATCTTACACTTGCTCAGGCTGGTTTTGAACTTGTGAGCTCAGGCAATCCACTTGCCTTTGCCTCCCAGAGTGCTAGGATTACAGGCGTGAGCCACCGCAGCCAGCCTTTCATACTATTCTCTGAATGATTTATGTAGCTGGTCTCCTGTGTTGGACTTTTCATGGCTTCATTTTTATTATAATAAATACTACTTAACTTTAGTACTCCTTAAATATACCTCACTATAATAAATATTTCCTTATATTTCAGTTTTGTTTATGGTAGTATTTTTAATTTAGTAAAATCCATTGCTGTTTCTTTATAGTTGTCCCTTTGATGTCATGATTAGGCAGCATGCCAAGAATTTGCTTATGTTTTATTTAGGCAACTATTTGCTTATGTTTTGTTTCTTTTATGGTTTTTAAACACTTAGAATTTGCTCTATCTAAGGTTTATTATGGTGCACTATATAAGTTTATTATAGCACTTTTTTATGTCAAAAACTCTGTTAGGCAGTTTTTAGTTCTACACTTCCCATATCCTCAATTTGGTCAATCCAGAAATCTACCTAATGCAACTGCCTCCTGGTGACTACTTCCCTGTGGAACAACCAGATACAATTTACGTGACGGGCCTCACTGACTTCCACATCACACATGGATTTCACAAATACGCCACAATGACTGTCTCTCTCTCACGTCATAGCGTGACCTCCTGAAGCTCATGCCAGCTTACTTTAAACCTACCAATCAGAACTTCCCATGCAAACCTGCTTGGGTAATGATACCCTGAATCTCAATAAAGGCTTTGGTTCATGGGTCCTTCCCTCTGTCTGTCCCTCTCCTCACACTGAAGAGCTTCTGTGTGGCCTTTGGGTATGCTTTTGCATGCTTTTGGCCTGTACGTAATACAGTATTTATTTCCAAAAAGAAAAAACTGTCAGGAGTTGAAGATCATACCACAGATCTATTTATGGCAACTAGTGCCAAGTTTCGTGTAATAGGTTTTGAGGTAGCCTAAAATTATTAATAATTGAATTGACCAAAATTGGCAAACCAACCAGTAAATGAATCTGGTTCACTTACTACATATCAACATACTTCTAGCTTTAGAAATTTTTTTCCAGGGTAACTTACTCAGGAAAGTGTCGTAGACACATGTTCTGTGTAGAAAATTCTTTGTTTCATAGATATTAGGTTTGTTATGAAAATGTTCCTAATATATTGTTGAGTTATAAATGTTAAAAAATAAATGACCTAAATTTTTATTAATTTTACAAATAAATTCATTTTGGTCTTTCTAGAATCTGTGTTTGTGGATACCCTCGACAACATGTAAGAAAATATAAAAGTATAAGTAGCAGGATTCCAGTTTCTTCAGGATTCATGGTGCAAATGCTAACAGGAATTTATTTTGCCTTGTAAGTTTATCTCATATACAAACTAAACCTTTGATCTCTTTGGAAGATTATAGTTTAATAATGTATTATCACTATATTATAATACCAATAGATACAAGATTAGTACATTTTTGTGAGAGAAAATGAATCAAGATCTTGATAATACTTTTATTATTTAAAACATATCCATTGCAGGTCTGAAGAACTTGTAATAGCTAAAACACCTCATCGTCTTTCTTTAGTACAAGGACAGAATGAAAATTAGCAACACTTAAATATATAGTCCCTTTCTTTATTACTTTTTTGGGCTATGATTTCCAAATAGATGTTTTTCTCCAGTGAACATTATTTTCCATTTCTGGAAACTTTAGCTCTTAAAAAACATTTTAGAGCCTCTTTGATCAGAAATAGTTCATTATTAACTTGCTACTAATTTCTCATATTAGTGCTTAGTCTTACCTAATGACTTAAGTACTAGTATTTTTAATTTGGTCCTGTCTTTCACTTTATAATTCTCTGCTACACATGTCCTACTGTTCTTTGCACTATATTCACTTGATACTTTAGTTTTTCCTGATAGATGGTAACCTTTTTGCCTGAAGGCAGATATTGTGGTCTTGGGCCAAATCTGGCCTGCTGTCTATTTTTATAAAGTTTTATTGAAACACAGTCCCATTTCTTTGTCTATTGTCTATGGCTACTTTTCTGTTGCAGTGGTAGAGTTGAATAGTTGTGATAGACATGGTAAGGCCCACAAGCCTAAAATACTAGTCAGATAACTTAAACAATTTTTTTTCCGAGCCCTATATTAGCCCAGTAATATTGTCCCATAGTTCTCGGATGTCCTGATCTGTTGTTTTACTTTACCTTTTTTTCTTTATGTTTTAGTTTCAGTAATTTCTATTGATCTATTCTATCTTCAAGTATAATGATTCTTTTTTTCCCTTGACTAAGTTGAATCAACTAGTGGGGCCATTGAAGGAGTACCTTTTCTCTGTCACCATGTTTTATTTCTGGCCTTTTCATTTGACTCTCTTGTAGTTTCCATCTTGCTACTGAACTCTCCATCTATCTGTTCATGCATGTTGTCAATCTTTTCCACTAGCCTTTGGTATATTAATCATAGTTATTCTAATTTTCCTGATAACTTTAACATCTGAATCATCTCTGAATTTAGTTCTTTTGATTGTTTTATCTCTTGGTAGGTTTTTTTCCCCCTTGCTTTTTGTGTGCTTTGACAGTTTTTGATTGTCCAGGTTTTGTTCAGGCATAGGAAAGTAGAGACTGAGGTAAATATTATTTATGGCAGGAAATAGGCAGGCCTCTTTTCTTCTAGACTGCTAGTGGAGTCATCACAGGCAGTAGTGAGCTGGGGTTGGGCACCTACTTCAAATTGTTGTAGGGCTACTTGGTACATAATGTGAAAGCTGGATTGCTGGAGGGATTTTCTTTGTGTTCCTGTTTCATCCTCAGCATCCAGCCTTCTCTGTATGCCTATGCTTCAGAAGAGGTCTCTGTCTCGGTTCTTGGACAGCAGTAGAGTGTTGTTGCTTGTTTCTAGGTGTCTACTAGCCTGGTGGTGGGATGGTGGAGGGAAGTAGTCTTCTCTGTTGTCCTGTTTCAGCCTCAGTTCTAGGCAGGCCCCACGTCCCTGCATCTCAAAGATGCAAGTTTCTCGGTAGTACTGCCTCTCTTCCAATGGTAAGAGACTTCTAGTGATCTCAGCATAGAATGAGGGCTTCCCTCCCAACCCCCTACTTTTTTCTTAATCTCAGAGCCAAATTGATCTTCACTTGTGTTCTGGGAGTGAAAGCATTTGCTGCTCTTCCCCAAAGGCTTTTTAAAACTTTTGTTCCGTGTAAGAAAAGGGTCTGGCTGGGTCTTTGTGCTTTTCCCACGTGAATGGCCTCCCTTCTCCTTCAGGCCTGTACCACCAAGGGCAGCTTCTCAGGACCTTTGGCCTGTGTCCGGTTTTTCTTGTGAATGTGGAGAAGAGTCTGTGAATGGGTACAAGCTCCCCTTGTATGTGCTCCCAGAGAGTCTATGCTCTTGTGCTATTCCATAAGCTGGGTTTTAGACCTTTGGTCTTTAGGAATTTGTTAAAATTAGTTCAGCTGAATTCTTCTTAACCACTTGTATTGCGGTCCATCTCTCCTTAGAGGCACCTGTCCATCCATAGAGTTCAGGCTTCTTAGATGCCCTATAACCTCAGCTCTTTGATGGATTCGTGAGAAGGTATAATTTTGAAGATTACCTGGCTTTGTCATGTTTTTAGAGAACAATACTTTTTCCAGTTTTTTGGGTCTTACTCACATTCTTAATGTAATTCACACCTCTTTATTTTGTTGGCAAATGACCAACCCATTATATCTCTATTCATTTTTCTTGTTTAGCTGATTTTAAGGAAAGGCTTGACATATCTTTGAAAATTCACACACACACACATGCACACACACCACACACTTTCCCCCTCGCATTTCTTTGCTGTTTGCAGTATACGTCATGTACACTTTTAAAAGACTATCAAAATGTTAAGGAAATAACTATTCAGGATATTGCAAGCCACAGTAATTGTAGATTCTCATTAAAACCTGTGGGAGCTATGCAGTAATTTGACCGTTAAGTGTTCTGAACATTATTTTAAGGTATGTAATTTATTATTCTCTGAGTTGCTTTGAAAGGGTAAAATGCTTTGAAATTGCTTTAGCTTTTTTGATTTCTGTCCTATAAATAGTCATGTTCTTTAAAGAAAAAATATACATCTATAAAATTTTCTTTGCTATTAATAGGCTCTTAGATATAATTGAAAGGAATTCAAGGATTTAAAAATGTTTTTTTAAGAGTAATAGAATGTTAAGCAGTATGCTAATGTGATGTGTGATTTTCCTCAGTAAGGATAGTTTCTCATTATATTTGTTTCAATTCTAATTTTATAGTTATAATGGAGAATGGGATCTAGCTCAAAAAGCATTGGATGATATTATATACAGAGCCCAGCTAGAATTATATCCAGAGCCATTGCTGGTAAGTACCTTACTTATTTGTGTAAATTTTATAATTTAAGATTTCTCAGCTTAGACCTATAAATTGAGAAGGAGTCATTCACAGTTCATTAATATGTCATTAATACTCAGTGATTCATACTTTTGTTATACTTGGAAAAATTTTCAATTTGAAAAGGTATATATAAAAATTGGAAATTTCATTAGACTAACTTCCTAGATATTGCTAGTCTTTTTAACTTGTAAGAATGTTCTCCTTGACCATTCTCCTAAGTGAAGTATCATGAAAATGGAAAAAGAAACATTGCAAGTACCCAGTACTAAATTGGAATTAGTAGATTAACACCTACATGCTCACAAGGGAAAAAAACTCAGTGAAATTTGAGCAGGGAGGAGTGGGGAAGGTGGGAAAAGGCGAAGGAGTTGAGTAAATTCTTACCCAAAACATTGCACGGGTATGTGGATCCTACCTGGGAGTGGGTGTAGGACACCCCTTCTAATCAGACTTTAATCTTACTAACTACGACATGTAATTGTTATTCCTCCAAATTATTGTGAAGGAAAAAAAAAAAGAGTGTTCTCCTTAACATACTTTAGCTGCATACTTACTAATTAGCACTGGGAAATATAATATTTTAAAAGCTTTAACTTCATCACTTATGTATTTTTTAGCCATGGGTTTTCTGAGCTCATACTTCTCATTCTAAAGAATTTATGTGTCATCTTATGAAATACTTTGGAGAGGGCATTCTTTATATGAACTTATTAGCATTTAGCGTCATGTTTTATGTAAGGGTAAAATAATGCATCTGTTAATGTCAATCTTAAAGCTATATTTTTGCCCCAGTTGCCTAATGGATGAGGCATTGGCCTCCTTAAACTGTATTTTTTCCTTCTTAGGTTGCTAATGCAATAAAGGCTTCATTGCCTCACGGTGCCATGAAATCTAGTAAGGAAGGTACAAGGTGCATTCAAGTTGAAATCACACCAACTTCCTCTAGAATATCAAGAAATGCAGTAACCAGCATGTCAATAAGAGGACATAGGTGGAAAAGACATGGTAAGAATACACAATTCATCAAGTCAGGGCATTGTTGATTCTTTCACATTTCTCTCTGTACTTCTGGTGCTGTAACTTTCAACTTTAGTAAATAGTACCATAGTAGTCTGGAAGGAAGAGTTGTGGAGTCACCCGTAACTCATTATCCAGGAGCAATAGGCAACAAGGAAAATGGAGCCTCTTGTAAGGTTACACGTGTGAATGAAAATTTATTTAAGAATCATATTAGCTTTTAAATTTTATTTTGGTAAACTGGAAGAGTACGGAATATGCATTTCAAAATTATTCATATATTTTAGGTTTCTATTCATAAGTATCTGCAAATATTCCTAAATTAATGTTTCTGATTTCTAATTAATTTTTTAGCAAGTAGACTTGAGTATTAAAGTAGAACGACTAATGGAGACTTTAAACATTTTCCCTGGACTTCCTGGTAAAGAATGACATAGTAGTAATGAAAAATGAGGCATTTCTATTTCCTAGAAATTATTTTTTTTTCAAGATTTTCTTATGTGTTATTATTTCCTTGTCTGGAAATATTTTATTATTTTAACATTTTACTGGAAGTTAATTTCACTCACCATGGCTTTGTCCAATGTTTTCCTTCCTTCTCTTTTAATTCATTATTCTTTTTTTTTTTTTGAGACAGAGCCTCAAGCTGGTCCCCTGGGCAGAGTGCTGTGGCATTACAGCTCACAGCAACCTCCAA